TTGGTGACCATCAGTGAAGCGTCAATTCGTGATGTTTAATGTTTAATGCTTAGGATTTTATAAATTCATTTAGAAAAAGAAATCACTTTTTGATATGTCTCCTCAGCGCGATATTGAACAGGTTTTCGTTGCTAAATAAATATGTGACAGCAGATTATAAAAATGAAAGTGAAATATTAGATCATTGCAAAAGTTTCTCTCCGATTAGAAAATTAAAAACAAAATTTTACATACTCAAGAAAAAACATTTATTCGTTAAGTGCATATTCTCTATTGTTCTACACGATTATTGATGCCATTTTGGTAAATTCTTCGTTTTCTTTTAATTGGTTGTGAGGTAGTTTTTGTCAGACAGTAAAAAGTTAATTCTTTTTTTAATTAGTTGTGAGGTAGTTTTAGACGGACAGTAAAGAGTTAATTTTTATGAATTGGTTGTGAGGTAGTTTTAGAGAGTAAAGAGTTTATTTTTTTAATTGGTTGTGAGGTAGATTTAGACAGAGAATGAAGTCATATTTTTAAAAAAAACTGGCTGTGTGGTAGTTTTAGACAGACAGTAAATAGTCAACTTTTTAATTATTTGTCAGTTAATTTTATATAACCAATAATGAGTCGGTTTTATTCATTTAAATTGACCTGAAGACACCGAAACAAGTGAAAATCCGAGGCGTCCATGTGAGCAAAATACGATGAGAGCTGGAGGGTTTTCCTATTTCAAATCTTTACATATCTGCCTGGTCTGTTTTGCAAAATGCGGACTTGCGTTGCCGTGGTGGCAAATAACACCTTTTCGATTTGGTAATGAAAAATGACACCTATCGTTTGTAATGACACTTTCTGATGGTTTTGGCATCGACAGAAGCACGAGGTTTATGAACAGCGGACCAGCATCTCTGCACTTGTTCCTCGGGCTACCACCTTTTGTAACGGGGTGGGAAGCTGCAAAATCAGACATCGTGACATTCTGAGGCTAAAATTGTCACTCTGAAACAAAAGCAGAAATTTAATTTTACCACTTCAGGTATCACAATATATTTTATTTCATGCAAATATAATGATATTTACAAAAATTATCAGTAATTTTCAATAGGGAGATTGTTTCCACCCGTCCTGTATATATTTATGGACTTTGCTTGGGCCGAAATGATATATATATATATATATATATATATATATATATATATATATATATATATATTAAAGACATTTTTATGTTTATACATACTTTTTATAGATACAAATGTTTAGTAAAAATGCTTTTTATAATAAACAGTATTAATAACATTTACCGGCCTGAATGTCGGAGAAATTTTCACGGAAATATTCGTCCTCCGACAGGATTCGAACCTGCATCCTATACGGAACAGTCATTTAGTTCGAATCCTCTCACAAGAAGAATATTTTCTGTGAAAATTTCTCAGACATTCAGGTCGGTAAATGTTGTTTAATACTGTTTATTATAAACAGAGCATTTAATTAAATATTTGTATCTATAAAAAGAATGTAAAAACATAAAAATGTCTTAATATATATATATATATATATATATATATACACACACATTTTTATATCTATCCAACTCTGTTCAAATCTATCTATCTATCTATGTTGGTATGTTCATATCAATCTATCTATCTATCGATCTATCTATCTATCTGTTAGTCTCTAAATCACTACCGACCTATATCAGTATGTTATCTTGGAATTTGGGAAAAAAGGTAATAAAAAATGACAAACAGACCTTTTCGATCGTGTTCAACAAACTTGTTTAAAAGAATTATTGATGTTGAAATACATTTGATATATATATATATAGATAGATAGATAGATAGATAGATATAAAATAAAAATACTGTATATAAAAGTGGGCACTGAAGTGAACATCTAGCGTCGACAGTCCGTTTTATGCTTAAACTCAATATTCAACTGACTGTCGTCGCTCGGTGTTAATCAGAATGTTCACGTTTACACACAAGCGCACGCACACATACACGCATGCGCATATATATTACTTTTGCTAAACTTTGGATTATGTCATTTTTTAATCCTCCACATGTTTGGACTGACATTTCAACCACCTGATGAATATCCCAAATTTAAAAGCCTTGCTAATCAAATTTCAAGGCCTTCATAAACCAATGACATCCTTGCTTTTGTATAGAAACACCGGGCAAACATTGTTTTACCGGCTAAGAATAGTTTTTCCTTTTGTCTTGTTATTCATTTTGTACTTTTACAGATGCACGCTATCTGAAAATATTTGACACACACACACACACACACACACACACACATATATATATATATATATATATATATATATATATATATATGTGTGTGTGAAATAACTCCTGAAGAGGAACAACCTACCTAGGTTTCACCTAAACGGATCTTCAGGGTAAGCTAACTTATTGCGCCCTTTTCGGATGTTTCTAGTTCTTTCTTTTTTTGCAATTTTTTTCCTCAGGTACCAAGTTGTATATATTTACAAGTTATATATATATATATATATATATATATATATATATATATATATATTCATGAATTATTCATACAAAAACAAATACAAAGGTTAATGATTTAATTGGCGAGAAATCCATCGTCGCAAACAATTCAAATAATATACAAAAACCCCCGAACCTGTTATTAATGAAAAGATCCTTGTTTTTATAAATTTCTGTTGCATCAGTTCTTATTTTGACAAGCTTTCGTCTGATCCTACAGACATCTTCAGGTATGGAATAGATGTTGTTCTTGTTTTTACTCTCAGTAATAAGAGGACAACGAAAATATATGTATTGTTGTATCCGAAAAATGCTATTAGACATGAGTTATTGTTTTTGGAGCGTGCAGTAAAAATAAGAACTAATGCAATATTTGTGTATAAAAACAAGGATCTTTTCATTCATAACAGGTTCGGGGTTTTTTGTATATTATTTGAATTGTTTGTGACGATGGATTTCTCGCCAATTAAATCATTAACCTTTGTATTTGTTTTTGTATGAATAATTCATGAATTTGTAAATTGATTGTACCTTTATTGAAATATATATATATATATATATATATATATATATATATATCTTCACGGTTGATGTTTATGTTTGACATGACTTGCGAGGCCCAGTCGATGGTGGGATAGTCGCGGACAGTGCACACAGGGGAGGGTACACAGAGGACGGGGTCATTCACAGCGCACTCTTCTCCTTCGTCGCCTTGCCTTTTCATTCTCCCTCCTCCTCTCCTCGAAGTCCGCGATTCCATCGCTTATTGATCTCCTCTACGTCGTTCGGTCCCTGGCAGTTTCTTCCCACAAGGACGAGCTGATGTTGGTAAGTGTCAGGGTGCGCTTTAGTTGGTCCTTGTTGCGCATTTTGGGTGCTCCTCGTGGTCTGGTCCCAATCGCCAGCTCGCCATATACGATTTTCTTGGAGAGCCTGGAAGGATCCATCCTGTGGATGTGTCCTGTCCAGCGGAGGCGGTGGTAGATGATAGTACCCTCGACGCTGCTCACTGAGGCTCTGTCTAGCACTTCTGTGTTGGTGGTGTAGCTCTCCCAAGAGATGTTAAGGATTTGCCGTAGTTTCAGTTGCTGGAATCGTTCTAGCATTTTTACCTCGCTTCTATATAGGGCCCATGTTTCGCAAGCGTATAAAAGGGTGAAGAGGACTACTGCCCGGAAGACCTTGATTTTAGTGGCCATCATTAGTGCGTGGTTTTTAAATATGCGGCAGTTAAGTCGGCCAAAGGCGGAGTGGGCTTCCCTGATTCTATTCTCCACGTCCTTTCTGCATGTGGGTGTTGATGTCAGAATGCTCCCCAGTTACGAGAACTGATCTAATTGCTCCAGCGGTTGGCCATTGACAGTGGTGTTAGTGTTTGGGAGCGGCAATCCGGGTGGTGGTTGAACTAATAATTAGGTCTTTTCTGTGTTGACCTGCATACCAAATCGTTCATAGGCCGTGTTGTATGCGTCCACTAGTGACTGGAGGTCCTCTGCAGTCTGACCTGGGGTGGCATTGTCGTCAGCGTGCAGCAGCTCCCGTACCGAACACATGGTAGTCTTGGACCTGGCACGAAGTCGAGCGAGGTTGAAAACTCCTCCATCCAAGCGGTAACGGAGGTCAATTGAGGTTGTGTCTGGTGGGATCTCATTTAGCATTGCTGCTGTGTAGAGAGAGAAACACGTTGGTGCCAGAACACACCCCTGCTTCATGCCACCAATAATGGGGAATGGGTCCGAGAGGGAGTTCTGGTAGCATACTCTTCCCACCATTCCGTCATGCAGGGCGCGCACCAGGGCGACAAAGTCGGGTGGGCAGTCAAACCTAGTAAGGACTGCCCACATAGCAGGTTGGGGTACTTTATCGAAGGCCTTTTTTAGGTCCCAAAAGATGAACATTGCGGGCTGTTGCTGTTCGAGGCTCTTCTCTTGTATTTGCCATGCGCAGATGGTCTCGAGGAAAGGTCGAAACCCACATGTATGCATATATGTATGTATGTATAATATTGCACATTGAAATTTAAATTGTGCAACTGTCAGATGTTAATCTGCACCTGAAGAATGTTTTGTGAATGAAACTCATAGTTGTGCTACCAGCAATGAACAAATGTATATTTACTATGAATATATATGGCGATTGCGTTAAATCATGAAACAGCCTGTGGTCGCTCGGTGTTGATCACAGTGTCCACTTTGATGCTTTTACAAACGCACAAACACACACACACACACACAAACACACACACAGATAAATATATAGATAGATAGATAGATACTATGACTGCGATAGATAGACAGACAGAATATATATATATATATATATATATATATATATATATAGATAGATAGATAGATGATAGATAGATATAGAAACAACAAAAATGAGATAGCAGATAGATACATACGTAGATATAGAGGCAGATAGTTAAAAAAGAAAGGAACGATGAGATTGAGATAGATATTCACATATATATATATATATATATATATATATATATAG